ACCGTCCAAGCTTTACGTCTTTGGAATGCTCTTCCGACTTCCATAACACGTGCTAAATCATCAAATATTTTCAAAGAAATGGTAAATAAACATTATTTGTCTTTTTAATATGTTACAAAATGAAGAAGGGGTTCTTAGCAGTAATATTTTGACTGCTAAGAACCCCTGCTTCATTTCATAAGTATTTGTTTGTATCAATTTTTATGTATTTATACTCGTATATATTATGTTATATGTGTTTATGTATGTATATTGTATTTGTCATCTTCTAGTGTCTATTATTATTATGTTTTAATTAATAGTTGTATGAATAAAGGTGGCGTAGTGGATAAGCGCGGCGGCCCACGATCGTTGTCGTAAAGCACCTTTCGCAAGGGTCGGTCACGGGATGGGTGACAAAAAAAAATGATTATCTCGAACTACTCCGAGCTTCGGAAGGCACGTGTAGCCGTTGGTCCCGGCTGCATTTGCAGTCGTTAATACCCTCCAATCCGCATTGGGCTAGCGTGGAAGATCATGGCCCATCCTCTTAACCATCCATAAGGAAGGCCTGAGCCCCTGCAGTGGGGACGTAAAAAGGCTAATGATGATGAAGATGAATTATTTATTTGAAATTACTTACTTTAAGTTTACACCCCCTTTCTTTGCAATTAACATTCCTGTCACTCCAAAAGCTGTCTGGTAGAAGTTGCTTTCAGCGATAATACCGCTATTTATTACACTTTTATGTATTGTTTAGTTTGATATGTTTATGAAGATATCTGTGGTGTTGACAATAAAGTATTATTATTATTAAATTAGCGTTTATTTATATAAAAACTTAAAAAGAAATGAAACGTATCAGTTAAACATGCGAAAGACAAAAAGTTTATCTAGAAAACTGTAACATCAGATTTAAATAATACAACAAATTAATTTACTAAGAATGTGATGTCTAGTACTATCCATATCCTTAACACTAAAATGCCATCAAATTCACAATTTAATGTATACGTTTGCCCCGTTCAGTTAATTAGTAAACCAATTTCTTACTGGTTTGAAATAATATAATTAAAACAAGTAACTACACCCGTGTCAAGCAAAACTTGAGGTTGGCTGAAAGAAAACGGTGACTTTTCCGTTCTAAAGCACTGAGTCGAACGAAACAGTAAAAACGTCTACCGGAAAACAATTTCTCAACTTGACGAAAGAGTGCGGCAGCACGCGATGTCGATATTTGTAATAAAATAATTATTTATGAATAATATTAATTCACACTGAAGTAAATGGCCATCTTAATATTTTTTCATGTGGTTCGCACGCCGATTTCGTGGTGTAATTGTTACGGATCTGGGTGATGTGGACCTTCGTTATCTCAGACTTCCATAATACAAATGCTTTAGCTCCTTAATTTGAGATCTGAGTAATATATGTGGTGTTGCCTAATATTTATATTGTTATAGAGGACCTATATAGTTATATGTTTCATTAGAACGAAAGAAAACATAATTTTAATCAATTACTAATGATTTTTATTAAAATTTCTATCAAACCTCAATTTTTTTATTTTGAGTTTTCCTTTTTCTGTTTTGTTTGTAAAATTATGATTCCATTTTACCTTTGCACTTATGTGACAATGTTGCCACGCGGCTTTATCGATAGACTACAGTTTCTATCGATATATTGGCTCTCAATGCTAATACAAATGCTGAAACATTTCAGACGTCGACAATTTATACCAGAAAGCGTTACAACTCCAAATCGCCACTAGAGAATGAAATAATAAGAAGAGAACGTCATCCTTTAGTAAAAGCATTTTCGTGTCCGAGATACGTAGAATCATAAACGGCACAGAACAAAACGAGACGCAACGCAATGGAATCACGGAGTGCCATTCACTGAATTGCGTTTTGTTAAAGCATTTCGCAGTAATGATGTGCTCGAAAGAAGTGAAGATAGACGAAAGTATTAACTTAATTGGGCACAATTTTCAACTGTCACTCACCCGTATCTGAAGTCAAGTAAAAGTAATAACTCAAGCAAATATTTCTAAGAAATAACCAAAAACATTAATGAAGTAGGAACTTTTAATAGTAAGAATACAATTATTATTAGCTATTAACACTTCTTATTTCTGTTGGTTAAAAATGTATGCTTAAAATGTGACATTTTTCAAGTAATTACTACTCTCGACTATAGATAGACTATAGAGTGTTAATACCGTTCTAAAAATAGAGAGGGTTTGAGCTGCAATCGAAATAGGTTTACCAAATAGTATTTACTGCAAAACGATTCTTTCATTATGTTCGCTTGTATTTTATTGCTGATAGAATAAATTATAGATTCATATAAGAATTGTTATTTAGGACAAATATACCAAAAATATTTATAGATACCTAGTCATAGTCTTTTAATAATGGCTTATCTGCGCATTTCGCACAATTCTGCCAATGTCAAGTGAATAAATTAATTAGCACATGTAAAATGAAAATAAAATCAATGTAAGATGCCGATGATCTAGATGGCAGCACCTATAGATACCTAATTATAGGAAACTATAAATTTATCGAATCTGCATTAAAAAAAAAACCAGCGAGAATAATGAAAAAATAAACCGTTTTGAAGTAGCTCGGTGGCGTAGTGGATAAGCGCCGCGGCCCGCGATCGTAGTCGTTAAGCAACTTTCGCAAGGGTCGGTCACGGGATGGGTGACCTAAAAATTATTATCTCGAGCTACTCCGTGCTTCGAAAGGCACGTTAAGCAGTTGATCCCGGCTGCATTTGCAGTCGTTAATACCCTCCAATCCGCATTGGGCCAGCGTGGAGGGTCATGGCCCATCCTCCTTAACCATTCATAAGGAAGGCCTGAGCCCCTGCAGTGGGGACGTAAAAGGGCTGGTGATGAAACCGTTTTGCAATAACATAACGGAGGCGAACTGTGCGGGAAGTGGTCCCTTTTCTGGACTGTCACCGTGTGTTCTGAATGAAATTTCATCTCATCAAATAATAAATAAATAATAATTTTAAATTTTATTGACGATGTCATATGCTATTGTTTTTTGATTCAATAAAAATGTATTCGTAGATAAACACTTAAAGTGTTTTATTTGGTTAAACGAGGCATAGTTTCTGCAAAAAATAAAGGGGAAGACTTGCAGGAATGTGAATACACCATACCGTGCGTCGCCCACGTCGACAGGGACATCGCTAGATTTTAGTGGGTATACCCTCAAACTGGGAATGGATCCGTAGGAGAGAGTCCCACATAACGCGTGGCCCCCGCGCTTTGGGAAGCGGTAAAGTATTTTATAGAGTAAAAAAAAAAGTACACAACATAAATAATTTTCTACACTAACATACTGCGTTGTATTCAACATGTAAGACCGAAAGGGTGAAGGTGGAATTATGGAGACAACTAGCAAGAACTGAAGGGTAATCGTCTCGCTCCGCGCTAGGTGTTGTTAGCCCAGGGACCACGGTCCGACTGATGTAGAGTTGACGTTCTATTCATGCGAATTGGTAATGAAACCTATTGTGGGCGATATAGGTTTCCTATGTTCTAAAAAGACATGTAGTATCTTAATTTACAATGTTTGGAGTGGTACAGCGCCATCTCGTTACGGGGTGTTGAAACTTCTTGCAATTCGTCTTGCTATCGACTGTGGTGGCGATTTTTGTATGATGTGTTAGATATGATTTATATGTATAATTGATAAACAATGATACACACGGTTGTAACCTATTACAACAATTAGTCAAATTTCCTCAATTGATTTTGAGTTAAAAATTAATAAATTAAGGTTTAAAATTAAGTGAGAAAATTATACAGTTTTGTCGTTGTTTTATCATATCAGAGACATAAAATAAAAGTCCAAATTCTTAATTAACCCAATCAGTAATGAAACTCAGGACTTCAGCGATGATGAGAACCTGAAACAGACACGTGAACTACACGACCATGGAAGATCTTGTGAAATTTCTTAAGCTTAAAAACTAGCATTTCCGATTATGATTTACCAATTTTCTATACATCAGATAAACGGCAACTTGAACTCGTAAAATGGCTATAAAACAAAATGGAATTCAATCTTATAACTTTTTAATGTATATTTCTTGAGAACCTTCTTTCTAACTCGATCAGTGAAGATCATGAAATTTTTGATTGTACTTATTTTACGTAAGTTACATAGTAACTATTAGTGTGTATTAGGTAATTAAAAAATAAAAATATCATATTATAAAACGAAGTAGTGCTATCAGTACAATTAGTATATATAATACGGAAGTTTTCGTGTGTGCAAATCATTAGTTTTATGCTAATTGGTTTAAATATAACGTCTACAGTCAACAATCAGGTTATTTATATGAAGTCACTCAATAAATTAATCGCCATTGCTCCATATTTTTTTGCCATGTTATCACGTTCTCGCATAACAACACGACAGATTCTTTTACCTCACTTTCATTAACTACTTTTTTTCTCTTCCTCCTTGTTTTCCTTTCATCCATCATTCCGTCCTTTCCATCTGATTTTGCCTTTTAAAATATATTATCACTATTGTATCGTAACAAGTGTCCTACCATTGTTACCCTTCTATCATGTAATATAAGTTCTTCTCTATTTAATTATAGTCACTAACTGTACCTCTTCGTTGCTCTTCACAACACCACATCAGCCTCCAATATTTTCTGTATCAGTGTTCATGTTTTACAACCATTTATTGGAATGCTCCAACACAAAAAAGAAATCTTGCGAATTATGAACTTTAGATTTTTTGTTTTATTCTTTTACAATATAAAAAGAATTAGAATTAGACATATAAAGCTCAATTCACAAAGAGTTACAATTTATTTCCCAATAATTATAGACAGATCTGCAGTCTGTTTTGTAGCCGTAATGCGCTTTCAAAAATGAAAATTAACTACAGTCTGTGCTAACAAATAGTTCACGAACGTGAGGCAAATGGTTAAGTTAACCTTCTGGGAAATCTATCTGAAGTGAAACAAACTAATACTTTGCTTTGCTTTTAAATTTATTTATAAAATTTACTTCAATATTTGATGGCTAGTATAGTTCTTTTATCAAACAGCATAGAGTTTTTACTAATTTCATCTGATTTTTTTTTTGTCTGGCAATATTTATATGCATATGATATTAATGATAATACGTAAACCTTAACTATCATGAATTTTGTCTTACTTATTTATATTGTAACTATCATAACCGGACGACGTTCACTGGGTAGGCCTCACACCAGGTGGACCGACGATTTGACAAAGATTGCGGGAAGCCGCTATATGCGGCCATCGCAGGACCTTGGAGATCTATGGAGGAGGTCTATGATCAACAGTGGGCTTCGTATAGCCGATGTTGATGATTATATATACTACTTTTATACTGATCTCACTGCACCAACTAATTGTATTTAGATATACACGTCATTGGCTTGTTCGACATTCATCAATTTTTTTTACAGGCAGAATCAGAATAGAAACGTATGACAAGCGATCACTTACTAAAAAATATACTTTTTTTTCAGATATCGTTTTATCAGAATGTAGAAACAATCCAATTGAAGTATTTGAAATAAAAGAAACAAATGAAAGGCACCCTCGCTTGTATGTGAAAAATGTTGATGACCTTGAAAATTTACAAGATGTAACGTTACTCGCAAAACTGTTACGTCCGTATCAGAAAGAGAAAGAAAGCGTTGTGGATAAGGTTACGAGAAATCTGTTCGACCAACTACCTTCTATTAAAAGAAAGAAAACAAGGAACAATAATAGAAGGCCTATTTACATTATCGATTTGAATTCCTTAAACAGTTTATATGGAAAAAACGAAGAAATTGATACTAGTTTTTCTGATGAAACTAGAAGTTCTAATCCAGTTATTTCGCAACTTTTGAATCAATTGTAAGTGCAAAATATTTATTATTTTGATAGGATAATACTTCTAGCCTTGGGTAACTCAATTTGACCAGTTGCTATTTCAAAAGGTCTCCTCTGAAATACTTAAGACCTTTTTTAAGAAAAGATAAATACAAATTAAGTTTGAATATTGTATATTTACAATACGAAAATCTCGTTGGCAGTGTTTTCTTTTATTATATGAAAACTTATCTCAAGCTTTGGTCTTCATAATTGTATGATAATATTATTATACTCAAGTCTCTTGCAGTACTGTTGAGACAGAGAATCTTTATATTCGATGAATTATGTTCTTTCTTCTGCTTTTTCCTACTAGATGTTGACCACCACTTCGTTAATTTGTTAGTACATTCTCTGATGTTTCTTAACTAGGATGGATTTCTTATATCTCTCATCGCTTCTCTTGCCTTCCATTTCTCTTGCCTATAAATATCATTATTGTTCTTGTTGCGTTCTTTAATATGCATTAAAATCCTCGATTTCAGATTACCGCAAAAACACAGCGCCTCAAACATACAGCCCCTCGTCCACTCAGCATTACGTAGCAGTGATGGAAAATCCTGTAAGTAACAATAGAATTTTTTATCTTTACCTAAGATCTTTGTCCATTTATAATGAAGTACAATTTTTAATATTAGGATATATAACCGTGAAACTATGATATTGTTATGAGCTAGGATTCAAAATAAAAATTAACGCCAATTAAATACACATTATTTAATCAATAAACATTACAAAAAAAAAACTAACAACAAAATATACACTTCAACTTTACTTTTTCACGTCACTACTTCACAACACTATTAGATCGTCCAGATTTCACTTCACTAGTATTCGCTTCGACTTTCACTTGTATTCGCTCTCGTATTCAGTTCACTATAAGAGAGCGAAAGAATGCCGGGACGGATAGCTCATAGCGTTTTTGTAGGGGCCGAGGCAGACTCTACCAGCATCTAGGATGTTCTTGGTTAAAATCAAGAACATTTTAGGTTGGCCTTGACACATGTATTCGAGGCATTACCTCAAAGTTCTAGAACGGCTACCTGTACCTCTTCAGTACCGGGTAGACAAAACATCGCGCAGATTTGTTGCCGTTTGTACAAGTGAATTTGTGTGCGGTCGGTAAACATCAGGTCTTGCGGATACTGACTGTGTGTGGAAGTTCTAGTTATAGCAATGAACTTTCGCAAAATAACGCCTGATTCTATTAAATAATTTAGGACATTGTTAACTGTTGTCTTCGCTAACCTCTAAACAACTGAATTATCCAATATTTAGGGCGAATTAAATTTTTTCATTTATCTCGATGTATAATAATTCAGTTTGAATTTCAGATCGCACTTCTGCACCCCGTCATCGTTACAATTATGACAATGGAAGGGATTACTAAATATGACAGAGTCATCTAGATAATTTGAAAGTTGATTCAAAGAAATACAATTTCGGAGAATTATGAAAGCATTATTATTTTTCTCTTTCTTTTGTTTTTTAATAAACATATATGATCACAGATAGTTTATTATATAAACTACTTTCTATATAAAAAGTAAAATAATTTAAAATCAGTTTGCGATTGGAGTAAGTCATACGGCATAGCAGTAAATCCGTCCAAGACTCAAGTAATTGTGGATGGTAGTCGTGCGTTAACTAGTAGGATTGATTGGTCGTGTTTGCCTATTATTGTGTTTAATGTTGTTACTTTATACCCCGCCAAATGTGCTAAAAATCTAGGACTGATCATTGATAAAAAATTCTCATGGGCTCCCCAGATACAAGAGGTGAGTCGAAAACTTTTTGCTACAGCTGGTTTCTTAAAAACAATAAATATTAGAATATGCTGATACCAGCCATTTAGATCTTAATAAAGAACAACTAAATAAAGCTCCTAAACTTGTGCATCAGATTCATGTTTAGCCTCCGCAAGTATGATCATGTATCCTTTTTCGCAACAAACTCTATATATATTATTTCCCTTCTATACAGTATTCTGTTTAATCGCTCATCGCCAAGCTATCTTAAGGAACATTTTAATTTCCTTAAAGACACGCACGCTTGTAATTTGAGGTCGTCAGGGAACCTAAGGTTGGATATGCCAAGGCACTACACTGGTTTTTGTGATAAAACTTTCTCTGTTCAAGCAGTCCGCCTTTGGAATGCTTTCTCAATTGAAATAAGATGCACGCAGTCTTTAGTTATTAAGGAACACTGCTTGACTTTGCCTCTACATAGATTATAATCCAAGTTCACTGAAAGAGTGGAGGGCTCGAAAGCACGGAGCACTCACCTTCAAGTTAGTGCAGGTACTTTCAGAACACGGATGTTTCAGTGAGTACCTGTACCAGATTACGAGAGTGGCAAACCCAGCAAGCCATAAGTTCGGTGCTGTAGAGAACCCGGCGCAGCATACCCTGGAGGTATATAATGCGTAGGCTTTATATCACCGCAGTCTGATTACAACCATCGGAAGAGACCTCTCGCTGTCAAGCGTGGTGAATGCCATGCTGAACAGTGTGGAATCATGGAAGTGAATGGTCTCTTTCTGCGAGGATGTCATGTTGCAGAAAGAGGCCGGTACTAACCCATTGAATGACCTTTTAGGATCACAGTTGTAGTGCCGCGCGAGGCACAGCAACACCCTGGGCAGCGCCACATCAACGTGATTACCGTCGACTATCTGAGAGAGGGTATCTCTCTTCACCCGGCGCGGCATGATGCTCGTTTCAGCGCCGCATTAGAAGACGATGAACCTGGAAGGATATTTTACATTTTTACACATCTGACTTCAAATGCAGTTTGAATTTGTCATGATAAGAATTATTTTACGATTTTCAAAACTGTTTATTAAAAAATAAATTTAATTGAAAATAAACATTTTTATTTTAGTGTCTATGTGACAATCACCACATCAAGATTATTTGGGGGACGTAATTCTGCCAGTTTATTTTTTATGTTAAAACTAAACTATTGATTTAATTTCGTCAAAATGTTAATGGGATTATTTCGAGAATATACTCTTTCAAACAAAAAATGCAATAGGGATACAAGAAAACGGTCCTTATAGAAAACTAATTCTTATTTTTGAAGTTGGTAAATATAATAATCGACTGTAAATAAATACTAATGCCACGCAAAGGAAGTTGCGGAAAAAAACTAGTATGGATAATTAGGCAATAACGAAAAAAGATAAACGAACACAAGTCATAAAAACTCTTAAAAAAAATACAAAAACACTTACCTAAAGAAGCTGGCAAGCTGTCTGTGATTTCATAATGAAAAAAAATTACAGTAGTCGACACAAAGAAAACTGGTAACTACAGAGAATAATCCGCGGGTCTGTATGCGCGCCGTGTCGCTACCAGAATTGTAAAACCAATCGCAGTTTGCTCTAGGATAACCGGTTCGTTAGTTCCGGTAATGAAACCGTGCGCTATACGTGACCGGTTACCGAGACAATCGTCTCTCTAATGGTATATTATATATATTGCATGGTAAGGTGTAACGTTGAATCACGTACGGAGACACGACTGGTTATTTAAATAAAATATTTTTAAAAATACATTTTAATTCAAAGTTACGAGGATAAGCTAATTGCAACTTTTGAACTGCCTTAATGTTTTATATTATCAACTTATTAAACAGCACTTTATTTTATTACTATTTATATTATTAACCATAGGTAGTTAAAAATCCACCTATGGTTAATATAAATTATAATATTTTATTACCTTAAAGTTGTACTTAGCGTTAATGGGTCGTCAATTTAACCTACCTATATTATTTGTGAGTCGTATTTCATCAATTTTCATGAAAAGGTTATATTTATGAAAAAATATAAAAAAATCCTTTTTTAAATTTCCACTTTTTATTATTAGTGGATCATTAAAGTGAAATGAGAAAAAACTCTGATTCGAAAAGTTACTAAATATGAAGGCGTAAAATGCACAAGTGGCATGGGAGCCAAATGAAAGTCAAGTCATTTGGCGATATTAAAAACTTTATCCTGCTCAAGTGCCTTGGGTGTAATTTCACGACACTTCCGTAGTAAATCTGGACGTTTTCTTCAATAACTTTTTTCTTTCTCTTCGGAAATAGCTTCGATCGCCGAGTTTTGTAATTCTCATTTTTTTAAACTGGAAATCATTGTCAAATTTCTACTCATATTAAGCCTTTGAATATTATTTCATAGGTTTTATGAAAAATAAGGCCTGAGCCCCTGTAGTGGGTATTTAATAGGCTGGTAATTGTTAAAGTTAAAGAAGAAATAAAAACAAAAATCAAACATGAAATTAATTGAATTTGAAAACTCAAAAGACAAAAAATATAGTCCAAATGAACTTATTGGACGAAAAGATGAATATATGCAATATAAAAACAAGTATAGTATGATGTGGGGTTGACATATCTAGGAGAATAAAATGTCTTCCAAATAAAAGAAAAAGAAACGTCAAACTTGGATGGTGACTTTACAATACGCTTTGTGTCCGAATACCTCATACGCCAGTTTGAAGGTGTCGCCATGTTTGAGACCTCGGTATCGGTCCCCGGTTGACTCACCGTTTTCTACAATGAGATGTATGTCTGGGTTTTACGATATTTAATATTTTCAAATAACAAAGGGTTTACTAAGTTGGGAATATAAGTAATGTTTTTGATGTTAGTTACACCCAGTTTCACAAACGTCCAATAAGGTTTAAGACGTCTTAAGCTCTAATGATAGAACATTTATTTGAAAATGTATATTAGGTAATATCGCTTTAATTAATGTCAATTTTGAGGGACGTTTGTATAAGTGGGGATAAATCTATCAGAAAATAAGGAGTTTTATAAATCTTATAAAAAATCGTTTCTCTATAATGTCTATGATTTTTAAAAAATAAAGCGATTTGTAGAACATTGATGATCTATACTTTAGAAAATCTGTCCTTTTTGAACATGCTCCATTACTATAATTAACCTCAAAAATAGTAAAAATAGCTTATTAAATACAGTAACCAGCAGTCAGACTATAAAGAACTGCCTACACCCACCCGACTTTAAACCTTAGTACGTAGAAGGTAGAGATATAAATCCATTGCCTAAAATTGACATATTGTGATAACCTAACGCGCAGCCGGGTACAAGATTTCTAGATAAAATAACGTACAAGTACATAACATGACAAAGACGAAACAAAACAATGAACGAAATTACTGTGTCCCAAATAGGTACTTCAGCCCATTTATTTTTTTCTTTGACCAATTACTTTAGGTGAACAATAATATATATTAAATAATAAGAAAGATCACGATGTACACCTGAAAAAATCTAACATACTCTTATTACATCTTACCAGTACTAATGTAAAAAATACCAGTAAAAATCATGTATAATCTTCAGCTTTAAGATAATACACATAGGGTGCTAGGTACATCAAAGCCGTTTGGCTTTCAACCTTATATGTTACGTAAGCCACATAACAACAACTGTCAGATTGGATATGCCTAACGTGTAGGTAACAGTGATGTAGATATGATACGATCTAACGAACTGAAATGTCACGCGAAGGCCACAAAACGAGCGATCGGTGACTTCCACTGCACAGTGAGTTAGAAACCCAGATTTTGTCTCATGGTGTTTTTATTACACTTCTTGATGATTTATTTCATTTTAAGCAATAGACTAAAACTCCGACATCGATGAGACCGTTAGTTGATTTAAAAAAAATATCAAAGTTCCCTTTTTCTGGGTCACGACAAACACAAAATAATTAAATTAATTCTAAAATTGTATTTGTACCTAAATTACACGTATATGAACACATAATCTGATATTATTTG